CTTCAGGGCGGGGATGCTTGCATTAAACGAGTAAAAGTCGAGCAAGAAATTGACCATAATTTTGTGCATGAAGTGGAAATAGGAGAAAATAATGTGAGAGCCCGTTATGTAGATATGGAATCTAAACATGTTCATCTTATTCTATAACATGTTCATTTTATTATGTAACATGTTCATTTTATTCTATAACATGTTCATTTTATTATGTAACATGTTCATCTTATTCTATAACATGTTCATTTTATTATTGTAACATGTTCATCTTATTTTATAACATGTTTATCTAAATTTCATATGTGAAAATGTAACATTTTCATCTTATTAGAGAGAATTTTAGGTTGTGAAGGTGGAGGATATTCGATCGAAAGACTAATTTATGAAATTTCTTTTACATTCTACTAGTTTTTCACTTTCATTTCCTATAGTATGACTATTGCATAAATTTGAGTTCTTAACTGTAAATTATGGTTTATTATTTCAGGGCGGAGATTCTTGCATTAAACGAGTGAAAGTCGAGCAAGAAATTGACCAGAATTTTGTGTATGAAGTGGAAATAAGAGAAAATAATGTGAGAGCCCGTGATGTAGATATGAAATCTAATCATGTTCATCTTATTCTATAACATGTTCATGTTATTCTATAATATGTTCATTTTATTATATAACACGTTCATCTTATTCTATAACATGTTCATTTTTTTATGTATCATATTCATCTTATTTTAGAACATGTTTATCTAAATTTCATCTGTGAAAATGTAACATTTTCATCGTATTTTATGACATGTTCATCTTATTCTATAACATGTTCATTTTACTATATAACATATTCATTTAATTATAAATTTATGTCATAATCTTTCAATAAGATAAATTAATTGTAAAAAATATTAAATTAATTGTGTTCCAAAAAATATCAAATGTGGTCTCTATTTGTAGAGAATGAAAAATTATGAATTTTGGTATTTTTATTTTTATTTTTTGATACAAAATATGAATGATAATTTAATTTATATAAAATGATATATGAATTTCATTATCCAATAGAAATGAGACACATGTCCATTTAAAAAAAATGTCTTACCTCCTTACCTTTTCTCTCTCTGCGCGTGGAGGTTGGATTTTTGACAAGAAATACAATTTAAAGTCACTCTCTTTATTTTTACGTGTGTTCACTCTCTGCCATAGCACATCTAGCAAGGTGTGCCATGGCACACCTAAGTATTTGCGGTATTTGAGTGTTGACTTTTATATATTGTGCTAATCCCAATAAATTGTTACCAAACTACATCAAATTAAGTAGATCGAAAAATGTGCCCGTAGAGCCGATTAGGGTAATTTCTATTATCTCGCTATTCTGATTGGTGTTAAAAAACATCAGAGCTTTTGGCTGGCGATTTATTGTTCAAAAATTGCTCATAAACCATGATTTTGACTTTGCTTGATTTCGTTGAAATTTATACAATTGATTTCAAAGGCTTGATAAACCCACATCCAAAATGTTGTAATTACCCAACCTCTATGTGGCATTTTCGAGATTTCTAACAAAACCATGCACGATCGCCGGACATGGAAACTCCGGTGCTTTTGTTTGGCATATCTTCAACAAGCACCGAAGAGATTTTAGAACAATGATTGAAGCTCTTCCAGTGTGCATCGCCGAGTGGACTCCGACGACGATAACTCAATGAGTTGAGATTTGAGAGGTGCTGCTATCGACACTCTATTGGTCGAGTGTGTGGTGGACAACTGCTCGGCTAGATTCATTAAGATATGTATTCAGCTTGGCTCGCTTAATAAATAAAACTCAATTATAGCTTGATCGATAAACAAGCACGATAAATATTTCAGCCTGATACTCGAGTATCAAGAGTTCAAACTCTAGGCTATTTACAACTCTATATATGCTAGGTAGTGTGGTTTTGAG